TTACATTTGCACTGGATTCATGCATATTTAATTATCTAACAACAAGAAATTGTTTCTTTCTTATTCACACTTTCTTTCTTTTACAATGGAGTTGGAATAAATAATACTACAATCCATGGATCGGAGGGCGGGGGTCATTCTTGTGAATTTCTCATTCCCATTTTCTATTTTTCGAGAAGCACATTCCACTTCCATTACCTTAATAAGTAGAGGTTATCTGATGCCCCTGCCTCGGCACCAGCATTTCCTGGCAGAAATAGGAAAACAATCAGAAAATAGCAAAATAGGATAATAATACTGTTACATTTGCTTTTTCCACCACTACCCATTTGGCAGAATGTGCATTACCTCAATCACATGAATAATTTTTTTAAATGGGTTATAGAATAATTTTTCTTTAGTTCTTCAACTAGCCATTTACAACAGCTATCTCTTCAAGAGTATTAAAAAAAATTGTAAGCTGGGAGAAGGAACTAACAATGCTTCTGATATATGACATGTTTGCAGAATCTAAAAGTACATTACTGAGAGGGATGGGGTTCACCCAAAGAGAAGTACATTGCCCATATACTCCCTTTAACAGTAACTAATCTACTCTACAATATCTTTATCAATCTAACCAGTTGATTATCCCCTGAGCCCATCTGGCATTACTTGAGCATACAGGAAAATGGACCCTTAGCTAAGTCACCTCCACAGAACTTTACCTTTTAAATTGATAAGGTGTTTTCTTACCACACTGGGCTTTCTCCTGTGTGCCTGGGTGACTTCTTCCCATCCAATCCTCCCTTCATAACCCTTCACTAAACCTTCTCCTAGGGCCTTCTCCTCTCCCCATTATAAAGTTGCTTCCTAGTAAGGATGAGTTACTCATGCCATTTTTTTTCTATGTATCTTATTTATGAATATAAATGCTTGACTCCTATGATCCAGATGAAGTGACCATCACATCATAAAATTAGCTTGAGGGGCAGGTAATGTGAACTCACCATTGTGACAAGAATGACTCTCCATAAGTGCACAAAGTTCTAGGAGGGTGATTAGATTCAAGGGGCTCTTGAATTATTTCCATTGATAAATGAGTGTGGAATGCAGTGTCTATAAGTCATGACTGGATGAGTGTCAGCTCAAAGGAGGATGTTATTTCCATGCTTATGATCTTATTCCTGGATGTCATAACCAGCAGTACAGGTTAATCACAAAAAATTGAATATTACAAAAAAAGTAAAATTACATGAGTAACAAAATGTTCCTTATTGTTATTATTATTGCAGTGAAATATGGACTACATAGAGAGATAATATGGACTCTGTGCAAGGAAAACAGTCTATTACCATTTGGATAAGACAAATCAAATAACAGTTATAGATATTGGAAAATAGCCCCCCCCAAAAAAAATAATAATAATAAAATAAAAATGCTTATGAAGAAAAAGAGAAAAAATAACATTGCAAAGGAGAGGCATAGAGTCTTGTCACCAGAAACAAATGGCCACTGAAGTAAACCTGATGCCCGATGCCAGATTTTGGGCCTTATGATGGTAGTGAAGCATCTAGATCCAATGAGTTAATTCATCATACAATAAATTGTGGTAAATCCATCAAAAGTGTTTACTTACCTTGCAAGTTTTCCCAATTTCCACTCAACCATTCGGTAACTATCTGACAAGTCAGTGTGAGACATACATTTTGTCACATGAAAAAATTGAGTCCTTGATAATAGCAGATAATTCAGTGGTATCTGTGGCTAGCAGGCAAGAGTGGACTCAGGATTTATGGTTTTTAGGTTTTAAATTACTCTAAATAAGAAGGGACAATCAAAAATTGTTATAAAGTCAAAATGCTATTCGTAAAAAATTATAAACTATCCCCAAGACAAAGATCTTTTACAATCACAAAAAGGCATTCCATCAGTTTTCAATATCATATATTTTAAAATCCTTTTACTGACATATGCACCACAGTAACCATTAAAATTACTAAAATAGTAACATGCCTATAATTTTTAAATTCCTTATAATATGATCATGGAAATTACACACGAAAAACTAACCAATCAAAATTCTTTTCATAAGAATTTCTAGTTTTTTTGCCATTTTCCAATATCCATATTTGTCAATTAACACCTATGATCTGGATGATATTACAATCCCATAATGGAAAAATCTGGGTAGAGGGCCAGGTGACGTGAACGTGCCGTCATCGGGCAAAATGGGTGACGCAAATTTGTTGCCATAAACAAAGGCCAGGGTGATGGAAATAAACTCCACAAGTGCACAAACCTCTTGGAGTGTGATTTGACTCATTTGGTGCACAGAAGGGAGCTTTAGCATTACTTTCATCGAAAAAAAAAAAATAGAATGTAACATGCATGTCATGCACTTAGTTATCTTCTACATAGAGAGATGATATGGAGTCTGTGCATGGAAAATAAGGTATTACAATCTGGATAAAACAAATCAAAAACAAATATGGACATTGGAAAACAGTCAAAAGGCTAAAAAAGTTTACACAAAATAACTTTGCAATGGGGAGACACAGTCTTGTCACCACTCATGGGTGTTCTCGTGTGCATGGCCTACGCAACGCACACCCGGCATGTTAGCTACTTACATAACCCACTGCCCTTATTTTCAGCACCGTGATTTCCATGACACAATTGGATCCAATAGGTTAATTTGCTTCATCCAGATGGTAATAGACTGTTTTCCTTGTACAGACTCCAGATCATCTCTCTAGGTAGACCATAACTCAGTGCAAGAATAATAACAATAAGGAACATTTTGTTGTGTCATGCTGAGCATTGAAATGGCGTCCTCCCTAGAGCCAGCACTCTTCCAGTCATGGCTCACAAACACATTCCACACTCGTTTATCTATGGAAATAATGCAAAGCCCCTTTCTACACCCAAAATGAGTCTAATCATACTCCAAGAGGTTTGTGTACTTGCGGCAAGTTTCCTGTCACCCCAGCCTTCAGCTGAAATGTTCATGACAGCATGTTTATGTCACATCAGCCCACAGCCAAATTTTCCCATGACAGCAAGTTCATGTCACCTACCCCTCAAGCCAAATTGTTTCATGCCATAATGGCCCTGTCATCCAAATCACATGGGGTTAAAAGATGGAGGCTACCTCCTTCCAACTTTAAAAAAAATAGTGCATCTCATTATGTGACACTCACTTTAGGGTCATGTGATCTCAGATTTTCCATCAGACTTTTCATCTACCTCTCGTCTTTCTTCAATGTCTCGACGACACATTGGACAGATCTCTAACTGCAGGGCACATCTTTCACAGAAGCCTCTGAAAGTAAAAGAAATGGATTCAGAGTCCTGCTTCATAATAAAGTATGCAATTGTACTGTTAAACTGTAGCCTAATAAATGTCATAATTACCTACACTTACTTGAGTCTCAAATTCTCAAGAAAAACATGGTGACAAGCAGGTTACAAACTTATTGTCTGCAATAGTCTATAACTTTTTAACAAGGATATTATAATGCATTGATACAAGACACTGTTTTGATACAGACTACTAATTATAAATCCTGGGCAACACATACACAAAAGGATTATTAATCATACCTATCAGTTCACTTAGCAAGAAAACTTGGCAAGAACAGAATAAAGTTACATTTATATGCATGTGCTTTAAATTCACAATACCATCACAAATGCATGCAAAATGCATACCATCCAGCTTTGTACGCCTTACACACACACACACACACACACACAAAAAAAAAAAAAACTCTTTCACTCATCATTTATTTCACTCTTGACAGCTGTCAGCAATGTATTGACAGTTGGGTTTTGGTCCAGATCATGGCTGTAAACTGGTGGTTAGCATATATTTTTACAAAATGTTCATCAAGATGCACATGACCATTTAGAGGATGGCATACTGCAATTCTGCACTTCAAGCTAACTTTCCAAAGCTTTTTTCACACATTAATAAATAAGGACCACAAGAATGCTCGTTTACAACAAACAGTGACTGAAATCACCGAACTAGCAATACAAAACATTGCAAATAGCTGTTCAATAGTAACAAGCCATCATTCAGTCCATGTGATGATTTACGCAACCCTTCAACATTACACTGGGTCAGTATTTACTAAATATGCATATGGTAAATTTATTACATTTCTTCAAATTTAGCATTTCATCAAAGCATATAAAATGAATTACAATATAGGAAATATTGAACTTGAACTCTACAAAATTTTGAATTCAATGAAAACTTAATACAAAGCCCCATGTGAAATTACACAAAATCAGAAATAGTAATGGATAAATCTAAACATACATAATACTCAGTCTCCTCAAAGCTTACCTGTGTAAACAAGGCATAAGTGAGATAGTGGCCCTCTCATCAAAACATAACGTACATGCCCCTTCCTCAACACTCATTGCTCTCAGTTTCTGAAGTTTAATGTGCCTGGAAATATGCAGTTTGTATCTTATTTAAAATATGTGCATGCACTGTACAATTGAAATCATATATTTACATACATGTGTCTGTAAGTGAATATCAACAAAAGTAGCTGAGGATCTGGAATTCCAATAAAATTGGTAAAAAAATTTAAAAAAAGATCACACAAATCTATCCATTTTGCCAATCCCATACCTTGGTAAAATAATCTTTTCACTCTCTTTTAAGTAGGCATGATCATTGAAGCTCTGGAAGGCAATGTCCTTAGGAGGATGCATGAATGGCTTCTTCCCAAAATTAAACTCACACTGCTGGAAGGACATAAAGCTAGCAGCTGCAAAAAATCCACATCTGAAAAAAAAGGGAGGGAATAGTATAAAGATATCATACCTACAAAAAGGTAAAACTTTCTGTTTCCTGTTTCACTTCCTCTTTGGGGGGAAAATGCTTATGTTTCATCACAGATACTATCAGTACCATAAAACAGATAAGTTTGTGTGAAAGTTCAGGAAAAAAGTTGAAGAGGCTGTAACTGGTATCCTTTCTTCTTAACAAGTATGCTTTTTATATTAATGTGATGAGCACCATGTCCAGTTAGATAAATTACCCACCATTCTGCAATTACTTAAAAACCGCAATCTACAAATAACTGATGAGTGATGCAAGATACATGTGATTTCTTTTTAACTTTTGTTGTAATACACTTATAAATGATCATAGATTATGTAAACAATAATCTTGAAAAAACATCCATCTTAACCAATTCATCAAAGAGAAGCATTTTAAGGCATTACTTACGTGGCATTATTGAAAACTTGTGTTAGAGGTGGCAATGGGTCACCATTAAGGTAGAAAATGACTTCTGCATTAGTTAGGTCAAGGAGGGACCCCAGAACATCTCCAGGCTGCCAGCTAGGGTGCAAGTGACTTTCACTCTGGGCATTGTGCCAGAACAATTGTCTGCACCCATCATATGCCACAGAAAATTCATCATCACCAATACCATATCCTTCCTGAAAAAGTAAAGTTGAAATACAGGCTGAAAATATGTATTTCTATAACTGGTAACACTATTTCTAACAGGATATTACTGTTATGATGTATTGCACCCACTAACCTGAATTCTTTTTATTTACTGAATTCCCAGAGTTTTTTGGTCCTATACTGATTATCTTTGTATACATTTGAATCAGTAAGACTACAAATGAGGTCAAAATTTCACATCTGATTATATTCAGGAGCCATATTAATTTTCTTGCCTACAACAGACCCTTCACATCGTCTATCAAAGATATTGCATAGACCTATCTGATCCCTAAAAGGTATAAGAATTCCTGCATACATGATTTAGGAACTTGCTATCCTTAGTTGCCCAGCCAATCTGCATGACTCCCGCTGTAATGATAGTAGCCTCATAATACCAGACACCAGAGTCAACTTGGAAGGTGCATCGGACACTTTCAAAAGATGAAGCATCACAACGTGCCTGCAAAATGTTGAAAACTAGAATATAAACATTGACAAAATAACTGCAATACAAAAATCAAGAACAACAAAGTAAAACTACAACTTTTATTTCATCAACAAAATTTTTGATGAGTAAACCTTACTTGCAAACCATCTGGAGATATCTTAAGGTACTCGCTAACATCATTATTATTCAGCATTGCATTTAAATGAGTTGTATCTACATTTTCATAGGAGTATGGACGACCTTCACAAATAACTGAAAACAAAAGCACTTCCTGAGTCATTTCATTCACAGAAATCTTATATCAAAATTCTTTTGTTTTCAATCACTACAATATTAGCATAAACTATCACTTTAAAACAAGACAATTACACTTACACAAATTATCCAAGCACCATTGAGCACAAAAGCCCACTTGACGGCGAACATAATCATTGTCGCTCATCCACTGTTCCAAGGTTCTCAGAGGGTTACACAGACCCTGTCCCATGTACTGTCCTATGCTTGTTTTGTTCTCACTTGTTTGGGCAAATTTTTCAAGAGCTATGAGGGCAAACAAGATGACACAAGGGTGGTTGTCTACATTCTGTCCAGGAGAGATATGAATAGTTCAGTACAATTTATAGTGTCAGAATTTTTCTCTTTGTTATGGCATATTTGATAAGTAGCTTAACTCGAGATTGTACTTCTGACAAATAGTTTACTACATATACTGCCTGAAATAAAACAATTACTTCCAAGTCAAGGATGATCCAAGTTTGAAATCATTAAATCTATTAAATGCTTGAAAAGGGAACAAAAACATTCATCATAAAACTCAAAAGATATAACAAACATTAAACATTCTTCATTTTGTTCCTAAGGCCATACTCACAAGGTGTGCCACAAGATATTCAAGTGTAGTATCGGTAAGCAGAGCTATGGACGCGGGACCAGCAAGCTTTTCAGCAATACATCCAAGCACCACACAAATATTACGATGCAGCTGAGGGTCTTTCCAGCTTTCTTGTGCACTTTCCTCACTCAATTCAAAAAATTTACAGAGATGCACAACAGTTTCCTGGATTTAATAAACATATATAAATAAATAAATAAATAAATATTGAAATACATACATAAAATCATTTATCAAAGAACTCTATCTAAGAAAAATAATTTGAAGTTAAAGAATTGTAGTTCTATATATATCTGCAGAAAAAATATATCATATTATCACATAAATAATCAGGCAAACTATATACACAGGAATAATGATAAAACATACCCAATGACATCCCAACTTACTTTACTTACTTTGAATCTTATCATAGTACAAAACGTGTGATTCAATCATTCAGGTAAAAAAAAAAAACAGAAGGATCTCCATAAATGATTCAAAGTTGAAAATGAAAGAATAGGATACCCCACAAAAGGATACGTAAAAGCCTCACCTTGCTTGGCAAAGGACAGTCGTCCAGTAACAGCGTGATGACTGCCGGTCCCAGTGGGTCATGGAGGGGAATCACTTGCACCATGGAACGCACCACAACCAGCCAGCCTGCCTCTTTGTCGGCTATGGTGTGCAGCTTTAGCATGGACGGTGGCGGCTCCTGGT